CAAAGGCCAGAAGAAACCAGCCAGCAATTAACCTGTTAGTAGTTCATAATTGCTTTATATCAGAGTGATTGGTGGGTTGGAGGAGAGGCCCTTTCCTACTGCTGAATGTTTAATCAGCTGCATGAATTAAGAGAGCCATTACCAGTTGCTGTGAAGTTGACCCTGTGACAGTGAATCTTCATGTATCTAGCACCTTCCAGGTTGGAGTTGGAGGTATTTGTAGCAACCAATGTTTTTCCAAACACAGATGACAATTTAATTTATTGGCTGCAATGTGGAGCTCCAAAATAACATTGTATATTAATTGATGTCATGATCTACCTGCTTTCGATATTTCTGATGAACATTAACTGCGTGTGTGCTGGGCACTGCAGATGTTCTTTGGAACTGTTAAAGTGCTCATAATGTCCAGCATAAAGGTACTAACAAACCCCTTTCTTTTTCAATATTTCTGTAACAGTCTCAGCGGTGATTGCTTAATAGCCGGATTTCAGATTTATTACTCTACTGATGGTCGTAAGGAACTTTGTTTCCTTGTTCCACTGTACAACATTGAACAGACGTAAAAATAGAAAATAAAAGGTATCTTATGGTGCAGTGGTAGTGAGCTCAGAGGCTTGAGGTCAAGACCCATGTATTCCAGAGATGTGTATTAACATCACTAGACAGGTTGATTAGAAAGTAGTTACAAACAGAAAGTACCAAAATCTAGCAATAAGCCTATCAGCATCTAAGAGATGACAATTTTGGATTTTTAATTGAGAACATTCTTTGAAGTCAAGGAAATAAAGTGCTGTAGGTGACATCTTGGCCTTTGCTGATGCAGATCAGCCAGCTGTGTATTTCAAAGATTTTCTGTCTTCTATTTCAAATTTCAAACATTTTCAGTTTTCCTATAATGTGTTGGAATCATGCTGTGGACATACTATTTGGTTTTAACATATTTTCTATTTGATCATTTTCACCTTTCTTAGACTTAGATGCATAGAATTTCTGGTACATTCATTGCTGAGCAAGTACTTTGAAGTTACCTCTTGCACATCCTTAATGGTTCCTTAATCTTGGTGAGAGGCACCAATGACAAGGATACTATTTACCGTCAATCCTTAAGAGCTGAAATTTCTCATTCTAAAGCCCAGGTTTATACTTTTTTTTTAAAAAGGAAGCAGACAGCATTGTTGTATCCCTAGCTCTCAGTCACTGGCGACTGCTATGCCTTGTGTCTAAGTCCTTTATGTCTTGTTCTTAGCTTCTGCAGTTACCTGACTGCTTGCTAGGCAATTGTCGCAGGCCACAATGTAGGATTCTTTGATTCTTTGCCTCATTTTATGGTAGTCTGTGCCTCAATTTCTAACAGTACCTAAAACAGCTAACAAAATTGGCTCTTATCTCATCTGACCTCAGTACTTGGACTGCCTTCCTTCACTCTCCCTTTTGACCTTTTTCCTCTCCACTTTCTTCTCTATCCCTTTTATGATATCCCTAACTTCTTCTGTAAGTCAGTGAGGGATCTATCTTGTTTACTGAAACTCACCAGTAGTAATCAGTTCTTTCTCTACCACACAGCCTGTGATTTAGTATGCTCGTTGCCATTGGTGTGCTACTGTTACTGCTTATGATCAGATGCTCTGTAAAACAGTGATCTTTTACGCTCAGTAATATAGTGTGATTCATTGCTGTGTCAGTACATCATTGTTTGCAATCTGTTAATTTCCGTATAACTCACTTTCTGTGATTTATTATCGCCTGTGTAGATGACTGCCTGTGAACACTAAAATCCAGTATAATTCAGCTATAATCCTGTCATTTTACATCCTCTTTAATATTCTGCTGTAATCTGTTATCTTCGTTGTATTTCAAATATAAGGATATAGTAGTAACTCAACTTTAGCAAAGCATTAAACTAAATTAGCCTGTTAATTTGTTTACTGGAATCAGAATAAGTGAGCATGAAATCTACTGATGAATGTAAAGACTCCACTGTTTCATCAAACTTCTTCATGGCTCATCGTAGCTTCAACTCCACTTTCCTGCCCGCACTCCATAATCCTTCAACCCATGACAAATGAAAAATCTGCCTCTCTTCTTCTGAAATTTATTCAATATCCTGGCATCCACCACTCGCTGGCATAGTAAATTCCACAACCCTTTGAGAAAAGTAATTTCTTCTCATCTCTATTTTAAATCTGCTTTCCCTTATCCAAAAACTCTGGCTTCTTGATCCAGATTGCTCAACATGAGGAAACATCATCTCTATGTCTACTTTGTCAATCTCCTTTAATATTTTATATACCTCAAATAGATCTCCTGTTATTCCTCTAAATTCTAGAGAGTATAGGCTGAAACTGCTCATCTCTGGAATCAATCTAGTGAATCTCCTCTGAACTGCGTTCCATGCAACTATATACCTCTTCAAGTAAGGGGACCAAAATTCTATGCAGTATTCCAGGTGTGGTCACACCAATGCCTTGTACAGCTGCAGCAACAGTTCCTTACTTTTATACTCTATTTCTTCAGCCAGAAATACCAAAATTCTGTTTGTCTTCCTTATTTCCTGCTGTACCTGAATGCTGGATTTCTGCATTTCATGCCTGAGGGCACCCAGATCCCTCTGTATCAAAGCACTTGGAAGTATTTATCCATGTGGATTTGATTTTCTATTCCTTTGACCAAAATGAATATCTCCCACACGTAACAACTTTAAAGTCCATCTGCCAAATTTTGGCCCTTTTACCTAACCTTTCCATATCCATTTGTAAATTTCTTATTTCTTCATTGCAACTTACTTTTTCACCTATTTTAGAGTCATCTGCAAATTTGGCTATTGTACCTTCTATCTTTTAATCCAAATCAGAAATCATATGACACAAGATTATAGTCCAACAGGTTTATTTGAAAACACAAGCTTTCAGAGCCTTGCTCCTCCTTCAGGTGTTAGTGAGAGAGGTGGTATAAGACACAGAATTTACAAGGGAAAGATCAAAGGCTTTTGATTATTAATTAAAATAATTATTAATTGATTATTATGTACATGTAAATCCCCAAATTTCTTTCAAGTCACTGCCCTGAGAGAACTAAAGGTTTCATCAATGTAAAGAACAGGTGACATTTTAGGTCAGACAATGCTTGTTGGGTGTGAGGTCTTGTTTAGAATCTCTTTGCGTTTTGATTTTGAGTCATGCTGGTTTTATTTCTAAAGTAGGAATTGACATTATAACTTTACTTATTTATTAAAGTAGGATTTACATATACATATTGATCAATTAAAACCTTCTAACTGAGTAAAGATTTAACAGCATCTTAGGTTTGTTTAATATGTCCTCATTAATGGTGTGACCCTTTGATCTTTTACTTATAAATTCTGTGTCATTAGTACCTCTCCCACTAACACCTGAAGAAGGAGCAAAGCTCTGAAAGCTTGTGTTTTCAGATAAACCTGTTGGAATATAACCTGGTGTCATGTGATTTCTGACCTTGTCCACCCCAGCACCTCCACATCATCTAATCCAAATTATTAACATGGTTCTATCTTCAGGCCCGAATTATTTACAATCCTGGTAGTACCCTACTAGTCATATCCTGCCAAGCAGAAAAAGACCCATTTCTTTTGACTTTATGCTTTCTGTTGGTTAACCAATCTTCCATCCAAGCTAACATGCTACTCCTATCCCTGTGTGATCTAACCTTGTGTATTATTTTGTGTGGCTTTTATCAAATGCCTTCTGTAAGTCCAGATATACTATATCTACAGGATCCCCATTATCCATAATGCTTGTTACAACTTCAAGAACTCTAGCTGACTTGTCATTCTTGATTACCAAGGGGATGAAGAATTCTTGGGGATATGCAGGAATGTAGAGTTGAGGTTAAAATGGGATCAGCCATGATCTTATTGAATGGCAGAGCAGGCTCAAAGGGTTGAGTGACCTTGTTTTGTACTTGTTCTATGTTTGTATTCTGTCTCTCTCAGACACAGGGATGACCTTTTTCTGAGTAGTCACTGAGGAGGACAGGCTGCTGTACTGGAATGCCTGAATACACAGACTCAATGATCACCATTGTATGAATTTCCCTCTCCTGGGCTATACCTAGCGCCACTCAGTTGTACAAATTTTTGCGGTGAGGTGCAAGGCCATAAGTGCTCATCATTTAATGCTTAGAGATGGCAATCAAACAGCTTTGCCAACACTGCCCTCGTCTCATGACAGTTTAGAGTCATAAAGTCATAGAGATGTACAGCACAGAAACAGATCCTTTTGGTCCAACTTGTCCATGCCGACTAGATATCCTAAATAAACCTAGTCCTCTTTGCCAGCATTTGGCCCATATCTTTCTAAACCCTTCCTATTCATATACCCATCCAGATTCCTTTTAAATATTGTAATTGTACCAGCCACTACCACTTCCTCCGGAAGCTCCAACCATACACGCACCATCCTCTGCGTGAAAAAGTTGCCACTTAGTTCCCTTTTAAATCTTTCCCCTGTCACCTTAAGCCTAAGTCCTCTAGTTTTGGACCCCGCACGCTGGGGAAAAGACCTTGGTTGTTTACCCTATCCACACCCCTCATGATTTTATAAACCTCTATAAGATCACACTTCTCCAAACTCATGAATAGTATATGATATGTGAATATATTCAGAGATAATTGATTCATATTATGAATTTTCCTTACCTAAAGAGTGGCAAAAAATGTGAAAATCATTACCAAAAGGAGTAGTTGTGGCATTTAGCATAGATGCATTTAAAGGGCAGCTAAGTAAGTTAAATGACTTGGAAGGAAACTGAAGGAAATGCTGTTAGACAAAGAGGGAGAAGGCACAAGTGAAGCATAAACATAGAGTAGTTGGCTCAGTGGCTGTCTCTGTGCTGTAAATTCTATGCATATGTTATCCTTACTGTCTGTACACATTACAACTCATTGCCAGTCATTTAATATAATTTGAAATATGGAACATTATCCAGAAACATTGTTTATTCTATTGTTTTGAACCAGGCAGTCCACATATATTGCATAGGCGAGGGGCCAGTGGTCCATCTCAGTTCCACAAAGATTGACTGGGGAAAAATCAAGGTACTAACCGATGTTCCCAAGACCATCTGCCTGTCTAATGAGTCACTTATCCCAGCCAGAGTCACAGCCAAAATGGTAAGTCATTTGCAGTAATTAAAAAAGGAAATATGCTCGGTAAAGATGATTAATTGCTTCACAGATGGGATTGCTTGCACATCTGCCATACTCTCAGCTCTTCTTCCTTTTTTATAAACTTACCCTCAGAGTGTACACTGCACAGCTTGATAGGATCTGTGTAGTTTCAGTGTATTCTGTTCAATGCAATTCATAGCTGTCTTTCATGTTTCTTCGAAACAACAACCAAATTTTAATAGTTGTAACAGGTCCAAATTCTGGTTTGCTTTGATTCACTTTAAAAATGTTTTACCAGTTTTTCTCAAAGTTTAAGGTTGTTTATACTGTGTAAAATGTAAGAACTGAGTCCATGTTGGCTCAAATCATTTAATCTTATACATGAAAAGCTGGTAGAAAGACTTTCAGGCTGGACAAGACAAGATTCCACTCACGTCTAAGATGGAAAACTTTTTGGTAATCTATCTAACACCTTGCAGAAGAGGCATGGTGGTGATGTCACTGAGCTAATAATCCACATAGGCAAGCTAACTTGGGGACTTATCAGCTTGTGGAAATTAAGTTATTTTGTGCTTTCATTTAAATTTGCCATTGGTGCTGGTTACCATGACAATGATCATCAATGATGAAAATCCATTTTGTTCAATAATGTCCTTTAGGCAAGGAAATCCACCAACCTTACATTATCGTGCCCACAGTGACCCCAGAACCACAGGAATATGGATCACTCTTAACTGTGTTCTGCAATAGTCTAGCATTTATCCACATTATATTTCATCTGCCATGCATTTGCCCACTCATTCAACTTGTCTAGATCACACTGGAACATCTCCGCATCCTCCTCACAATTCACCCTGTCACCCAGCTTTATGTCATCTACAAATTTGGTGATATTATGTTCAGTTCCTTCATGTAAATCATCAAATCGTTGATATAATTTATGATAATATCTTGTATCAAGGGCAATTTGGATTGGCTAATAAATGCCTGCGACACCCACTTCCTGTGAAATTACAGAAAAAAATGTTAGTGCTACATTGAGATTTTATTGAGAGGCAAAACTCATGCAATTGAATCAGAGTGATTTGCATAAATTGTACCCAAGACCATCTCTTCCTTTGACTAATCTTGTTATGATCTGACATGGTCTGAAGGAATGTCTGAGACCTATTGGAATTAGGGAACAGGTGATGAATATATTCAAGAAAAGATAATTGGCTGTGAGTTCCTCTCCCTCTCTTTCCCTCACCTTTTGTGTTATTGCATCATCCTTAATGAGTTCTGCACGTAAATTGAACAATGAGAAACACAGGTGATTTACTGGTTGTGGTTAAATAAAGAGTTGGATATCAATTGGTCATTGAAAAAGGAGTGTTTGGTGACACCAGAACTTTGGAGTGACTGTGTATACATGCTCACATGGTGATGTTGCACAGCTCCAGGCAATGCACACGTCCAGGCCCTGTGTGTCATTGCAGTAGGCTCAAAGTCTGCAGTGCTCATATGCACAGAACAGACGGATGCTTGTAAAGGGAATTGAACAGGGAGGTGAGAGAACAGATGGCAGGTGGGGGTAGAGGAAAAGAGAATGGACTGAGAGCAGGGGGATAATTCGGTCCACAAGGAGAAAGAATGGGCCTCGCCTGATCTTCCTCCCAGTAGAAATCAATTAGGGTGAGTTTTATAGCATACCTAAAAGAACTCTTGTCATATAATAGTGTCCCTACTTCAAGCCAAGAGGCCAGGTTCAAGTCCCACCTGCTCCAGAGGCATGTAATAACATTTCTGACCAAGTTAATTAGAAACAAAAATAGATGTAATGTGGCTAACTGAAACAAAGCTCTCACATAAAAGCGTGGCCTAGCAGTTAACTATTTCCTAATGTATGGAGCTCAGGATGTTTCAAAGAGCTGAACTTTGCATCTGTGCATTCTCTTATTGAATTCTATAAGTTTTCCATGTTCTGTTGCTTTTTTAAAATTACATGTTGCACTGGCATTCACAGAATTGCATGTTAAGAATTTTGTATAACTGCACAGCTTTTTGTTTGCATTATTAATTACAAATTCTTTGTTATGTTGACTTCCATAAACAAGAACTGAGCCTAATCTACTGAAGTGTTTGACACTCTTACAGTGGGTGGTCCAGAGACCTTTGTATATATCTGGGTTCTTGTAGTGCGCTAAACTACTGTGGCACCTTGTCCCCCAGTCTTGACTGTCATTCAATTTGAATTATTAAAAAGCAACTGGTTTCTTGAAGTTAACAAAGAATGTGAGTATGCGCAGTGTTACAATATTAATGCCTCTGGTTTAACCTTGCTTTATTCCAGTTGAGAAGCTGCATTCACTTGAATCAACATGAACAACCTATGGAAATGCTCATTAGCACAATTCTAAATAGCAAAGGGAACCAAAAGCTCAAACTTTCAATTAAGAAAATGTAAATACTCAGCTCGCTGCACCAGTATTGGGAGAAACCCACCCAATGTGGAATACAATTAGCTCTGGGAGGACTTGGGGAGGGTGGGTGTGGAATAGAGTTGGACCTGCCACATTCAGAAATAAATTGGAGTTGGCCACATGGTTGCCTAGGTGGACTGGTTGAGAGGCCTGCTTCTGTTGGTAGTAATTTTATTAATTATTTAGCCCTCACCTCTTCAGCCTCTACCCACTCACCACAACCTATTCATACCAGTAAATGCTAAACCATGGCCACTCACATAACCCCAATGGTCCCTCATACCATTCCATGCAAATATATGCCCCTACCAATCCCTACACCTAAAAGCTCAATATCAATTTATGCCACCCATCCATCATCCTTTGCCGTTACACACTTTGTGCCAATTCATCAAGTATCCACCGTGGTCAGCTTTCAGGAACCATGTTGAGATGATGTAAAATAATAATCTAGATGTGGTACACTGTAAAATACACATTCATGAAAGCCCATCCAAAACATTAAAATCTTCTCAAATACTTAATCATTAATATAAAAATAAAAGTTTTGTATTCATAACCTGCCATCAAAGACAGCTAATTTTTTAATACCTCCTTTAAGCTGTCAATCAAACTATGAACTTGAGATTCCTTTCTGAGATAATGATAGGTTAGAAAGCAGCCAAGTGTTAATAATGACATAATGATAGCCGGTGGGATAATTTCATCAAAAAGCAATTGTAACTCATAAAACAGACTTTTTTCAGCTTTTACTGATACAGTGAAGCTACTTATATTTTTTTTAATAGGACCAGGGATTCAAATAACTTGTCAGGTTAATTGTTTACCACTCACTGACACAGGCAGGCTGCTTTTAATTTTTTTTACAGAATCACAGAATATTTATAATGCAAAGGGAAGCCATTTAACCCATCATGAATGCCCTGGTTGACATAATCTGCTCTTCAAGAGTTTTGCAACTATTGTAATCGTTCTTAACAGACAGATATGAAGTTTAGGACAGGGGATATGTTGCTCATCCCTCCCCCATTAGAAAAATCTGTAGCAAACTGACCTTGTTTAAAAATGGCTGCTATGCAGTGATATACTGCGAGTGTCTTAGCAAGCAGTGGATTGGAGTCTGCCCCCATCCCACAAAGGAGTTGCACTCTTGAGAGTTGTCAGTAGCTGTTGCAGTTTTAGCAGCACCAGAACATAGTAGCAGATACTGCTGGGACTGCAAGCAGTTCCATGAAGATGACATCATATATTCAGGAGTGAGCTGAATTAGTAATTTTTCCACGTGGAGGGATTCACATACCCTCAGAAATGATTGAGTGGAGATGGGTGTTCAGGTTTTGGAGGACTCCAGTGATGCACAAAATAGATACCCATCTTGGGGTGGGTGTGCCCGATGCACACAGGGCAAAGCCCGAAGGAAGTACACCAACCTTCCTATTTTTTCACTTTAGGGAGTGGAAAAGCAAGTTGCCCACACTGCTCTGGGTTCCACTTTCCAATGCATTTTCACAATGGAGGTGGAATAAGACTTTAATTGCTGTTTAACTGGGCAGTTAAGGGTCTCATTTAGCCTAATGGCAGGTGGCCTATTGGTGACTTACCTATACAGCCCCCCCAGTATTATTGGAATGTTTAAGGGGTGAATGGCCAAATTATCGTAGTTTATGGAATACTTGCAAAAAGGCAATTGGTGATGAGGGGGAGAGCATTAAATCTATTAACGACACCTAAGGTTAAGACGTTTGTTGCAATGATTATGGGATCTGTTTGAGCAGAGCGCTGAGTTCAAATGGTGTTGCTGAGTTTGGGTTCCACTCATAAATTAGTGAGTCCCTTGGGACCAAAATGGATTCTGTGATAAATTGGGTAAGGAAATCCAGATTTGGGATTTGCCCACTATTTTAGAATCTCCCTGACTCTTCATAAATCTAGCCTATATAATCCAGTACTCTGGTGCTAGAACTAACGTTAATATGTATCTATTATAGCATTCACAGTGCATAGACTAAGATGGTACTTGAGATTTTAGGAAAGATGTAATGGATTAGAATGAAACTAATACCGAAAGCAATTTACAGAAGTGGTGAAACAGCTTGATATGAATAAATAATGAATTTACAGGGCAAATCTGTTGATTCTACATCATCAATAGAGGGAAGCAGTGCCAGAAGAATAGGTTTATGAATGTTCACAGTGTTATAGTTCTATCTATAAACTATAACTCCTTGAATCTCTCGACAGAATCATCAAATTGTCACAATTCAAAAGCAGGAGAATGGGGTTGAGAAACTTATCAGCCATGATTGAATGGTGGAGCAAAGTCAATTGGCTGAATGGCATAATTTCTGCCCCTTTGTCTTATGGTCTTATAGTCTAGATCAGTCAGTCCATTATATCTGCACAGGCTCTCTGAATGAGAATTATAAATTATTGCCATTGTTTTGCCTTTTTCCTATGGCCCTGAATATTGTTTCTATTTGCGTATCCAATGCCCCCTTGAATGCTTCAATTGAACTACGTTCACCACACCTTCCAGGAAGT